AGAGAGGTGGTGGATGCCCCATCCCTGGAAACATTCAAGGTCAGGTTGGACGGGGCTCTGAGCAACCTGATTTAGTTGAAGATGTCCCTGCCCACAGCAGAGGGGTTGGACTAGATGACCTTTAGAGGTCCCTTCCAACCCACTATTCTATGATTCTATGAAAATGAAAATAATTGTTACTGCATATGTACAAAATTGGTCTTGGCCACTTACAGCACAGTGATGGGATGTGAGGCTGATTTGTGCGGTTTTTTTAAGGCAATCCAACAATTCTTAAACCTTTAAGATGTCTGCATCTGTTCTAGAATTAAGACTTAACAGCTGAACTCATCCTCATTAGGCCTAACTAATGATTTCTGCTCCTGAATTCTGGCAAAATTGAAATGTAGATCTGGGTTGAGACCCTGGCAATGGTAAAGTTCAAAGAGGTCAAAATTTGGCTTTCAGCTTTGTATCCTAGGTCTGATACGTTAAGTGGCCCACACAACAGATCTGCACATGCCTTGTGAATGGTAGCTGCTTGTTTAACATACTGTGTGAAGCTGATATTCATATCTGTGAGAGGCTAATAACACCCTTGTGAACCAGAGGGTGCCTGGGCACACCTGGGTAATTGCTCCAGTTAAATGCTTTAGACTCACAGCAGCCTCTGGAGATGAAATTCTCATGCAAAATCCACTCCCTTGAATTATCGGAGTCCGTCAAAGATTTTTCTCACAGAAGAACTGCATAGTGAATCTCTTGTACTGAAGCTTGTTCTTGATCAGAAAAGCATCAACACAGTCTGACAATACAAACCCCTACAGTTTTTCACATTTGCCACGAGCTGAGTCTTGCTGGTCTGTCCTCTACCCTCCAGCAAAGCTTTCTGTGCTGAAGCTGCAGCCTCTGGAAGCGCAGAGCAGCCCTCAGGCTGCCCGGGTACCTGCAGTGCCACCAACACTGTCCTTCTGGGAAGCTTCAGGCTGAGAGAGATGGAGAGAGAACATAGGTCTGCCCAGGTTATTAGGCAGTTAATGGATTTGGCAAAAAAAACCCCACTACATGACATGACAGCCTGCTGGGTTTTGGGATCCTTTGAGAGGACATAGCCTCTCACCTGGCATCTCCATTAGAAGCACAAGAAAGGGGAGGAGGGATGGCACACCAGAACTAGGCTCCATCCAACTTGGATTTCTATTCCTTGCGCAACAGAGCCTTATGGAATAGGTCTTACCTCATCTCGCCTCATTAGGCTGCAAAGTAATTGCACGCTGTCCAAAAGCATATCCTTATGGTATGCCTTCGGAAAAAATCTTTTCTGCGCGTGCTTAGAATGTACTTACAGAACAAAGCTTTCCCGCCAGGGAACAGATATATCTACATTAGTTAGTTCCTAGTGGAATCGCCTCACCTTTCCTTTTTCGGGGCGGGGGGAAGGAAATAAGCCCGGTGTATTTTAAGTGGTCTTGAAAAAACGTAAGACATTCTGTTTTATACAGCATCACAAGCACACATTTAAAACTTCCTTCCGCGGGCCGACGTGCGGCCTGTCCACGCGGGGTCCATCTCCCCTGACATCCCGGGCCCGGGACGCTCCCGGCTGCACCCACGCGCGAAGGCCCCGGCGGAAGCGAGCCCGGCGGGGCGGGGCGGCGC